TTAAATATGTTTATGAATATTTATTAAGGAAAAGATCAGTGTAGATGTAATTGAAGTTTTGTTTTCATAAAATCTTAATATTAATATGAAATGGAGTGTCATCACTTGTGGGTTACAAAAATTTTAAAAAATGTCAGACTAGAGTAGAAGCTACAATATGGTATTACCTGTATTGATATTCTTTGTGTGAATAACTACACTGGAATAAAAAAAGATCTAAATATGTAAAAAGGAAATCTCGAACAGACATTTTTTTTTTTAAATTAGTATTAATATTGTTCTTATATAACGGCTACCTTTTATTTGCATGTCAGATTTGATTGAATCTTTTAGCATTAAGAAAAGAAATTATTGGAACAAAATGGAAAAATTTAAAAAAAACTACATGTTTTAAATATCTAGGACTCTGACAAGAAAGAATTGTTACATCTTAGATTTTAATGGGTTTGTTTTTTTTTTTTTTTTTTTTTTTTTTTTTTTTTTATAATTTTTGGTTACTTTTTTTAATATATTTTTAAATTTTAACTTTTTTTTTTTTTTTTTTTTTTTTTTTTCTTTTTTTTTTTTGTTGTTTTTTTTTGTTATAATGTTAGGTGACTTCTGTTAATATATATTTAAAGCTGAACTTTTTTTATAAGTTATAATCTAATTTTTTAAAACTAATTTACCTTTCTAGATCTTGCCATAATAGAAACATTTTATGTTTTATTTACAATTTTGCAAACATTTTTGTATTTTAATTAAATGTTACAAAGGGAATTGTGAGTAAAATTGAGTAAAATATAAAAACGTTAAAACTAAATAATAAGAAAGAGAGATAAAAATATCACAGCATAGAAATAAGTTTGAAATTCTTAAATTAATAAAGACAAGAAAAGAAGCAATTAATCCATTCACTGATTATGTCATAAAATGCCAATTCACAATTTAAAAGTGCTTCCTAGTGAAAAGATATCAAATTTCAAAGGGATTACTATTTGTTTCTTTTTCCTCTTTAGCAAATCAGAAAATTTTTTGTGTGCTTAATTAAATCCTAACTTTAAATTATGCAATTTACCCCCCCCCCCCTTTCCCTGCCCTAAATTTTCATCAGTGTAAGCCCATCAACAAGGGTATAATTCCTGGTTAGGCAATTATTGGATTATCCTATATGGTTGTCAGAACTGATCTCTACTATAACAATTATTTTATTAAGTAAAACATTTCATTGTTTCTTTTTTGTTTTTTGGAAATCGAATCTATAGAGCAAGAGTTACAAAGTCTTGTGTGTTGGTGGTGTATGTTCTAGAGTTGTGAAAAACAAAATTAAGTGTTAACAATTTCTGATTGCATATTACCATTTTTTCTAAAGTCCATTCTATATTATAAAACACTGTGTGGTGTTTGTTGCCAGAGTCAGATATTAAAACACCAGAAGGGTTAAATATTTAACATTCCACAACATCGGGGACTCTATAGTTTTCCAGCACAAGAGGTAATTGTGCCCATTACACAGGACTTGAGTTCACTAATTAGGGAAACCACATGTCATTGGTATGTTCTACAGTTTTGTAAGTTATTTAAGATAGGCTAAGCTACAGTTTGCTGTTTGCATGCGCTGTAATAAAAAAAAAAAATGTAAATATTAAAGCCTTGATGTTGTGTATGGGCACAAAATTAACCAGTACACATTGTGTTTCTGTTTTTAAAAAAAACCACATTGTGTCTGTGTACAAAACTAACCATAACACAATGTGTCTGTATACAAGATTAATCCTAACACATCGGGCTTGTCGACAAAACATACCATCACACAAGGAAAAAAACATCAAAGGAGAACCTGTGCTAAGTTTCAATTATAAGATTAAATTTCAAGCCCCAATGAATGACATAAAAATGGGTCTCATGGTATGTGAATTGTAAAATAGGGGCTAAATACGTGAAATGTGGTTGTTATTATACCACATTGTTATCACAGCCTGCTCTGGAAAAATAAATAAGTTTAACATAATGCTAAACTACCAAACAGACTAAAAATATTTTTTCCAATTTTGCATAGAAACCAGGAAATTGGCTCTTTAATCTATAGATCTGGTACAGCTGGCCTTCTAAACTTTTAAAATTATTCCAGGTGATAAGACTTGAAATGAAATTGTTGCTCTCTTAATTTAACATCTTGTAAAACTTTATTTATTTATTTATTTTAAATTCAAAAATATTACATATTGAACAAAAAATTCTGAAAATTAAAATTGGATCTAGCTACAGAATTGTTATTAAAGACCCTGGCAATAGTTTTAAACCAAAAGACTCAACCTCTGGAAAACTCTACAAAAGTATTAGGGGAACTTATCTGATTTGATTTAGAAGTCTGATGAAACATGTGTAGTTGTGTAGGAATACATAATAAACACTCCCCTAACCACCAGCCCCTCCCTCCAACCCTAACACTCTTGACTCTCCCTCCTACTGGCCCCTTCATCAGTATACTTAAGGCTTTCCAACTGTTGTAACAGTTGACAGTTTAAAGCTATACCTTTCTAAAGCGGTGGCAACAGATAGTAAAACTATAATTACACAGTGTCTCTCTTGATTGGTATTTGCACTTAGGGGGGAGATCTCTCATATCAGCTTATTAATTTAATGATCAGACATTTCAATACCCTTGGCCTTATTGGAAAACCTGCCCTGACAGGGAATCTCACATTGATTGCAAGTGTTTAATTATTCATGTCTTTTTGGCTTGTCCTAAAATTACCTTTTTTATTTTTTTATTTTATAACAATTTTGAATATTTTTAAGTCTCAACACTTAATAGTATAGCTGATTGAACATCAATGTGATTGAGATTGGTTTCTAGTGTTATTTCCATTTCTAAAAAAATTAACTAGAGAAATGTAAATTTAAACAAATTAAGCTAGGGACACTCTTAAAAAATATATCATAAACATGTACATCACCAACAGTCTTCACTATTAAGGCCAACAGCCTTGACTCTCAGAACCAACATCCTTGACTATCTAAATCAACATACTTGACTATCAACACACAAACAGCCTTGACAAACATCACCAATAGCCCTTATTAACAACACCAACAGCCTTGACTATCAGCACAAAATGCCTTGACTATCAGCACCACCACCCATTGCCATCAGTCCTTCGGCATCAGCACAAGCAACAATGGCCATCAACACCAACTGACAGAGCTATCAGCAATAACTTTAAACTTTTTCTTAATTTCCATAAGTTTGGAGCTTTCATAACTTGATCAATGGAAATAATTATCAGTGACTTAAACATAATCATGTCTTTATCAAATATAATAAGGACCAAAGATTAATATTAAAGAGTATTTGAAGCAAATATGAAAATGTCTATAATAGTTGTCATCTGTAATTTATTTAGGATCAAGTGTCCCAACAAATTTAATTCTAAATGAGAATTTTTAGAGCTAGTAGAGTTATTCTTGAATTTAAAAAAAATAATAATAAAATTACAATAAGGGGAGGAATTACTTAAGATCTTGATAGATATGTACTATGACAACATAGTTTGAGTGAGCACCCTTGAATCCTACTTTTAAAAAAAAAAAAAAAATTGTACTTATACATTATTTACTAGTGAACAGATAAAGATGTGCAATTTCATGTACAATAAATATATACATTATCATGAAGTTAATTATGAAAATCTGTAGAAAAAAAAGAAAGATGTTATGCTAAGATACTGATTATTTTATTTAATTTACTAAGTTTAATTCCAATTTCTTTTCGTTTATTATTATTAAATAATAATGGAATACCAAGATGTATTTGGCTATTATGTAGCTACTAATTAATTTATCTATTTATTTAATTGTTTTGCAGGTTTGTCAATCAAGAATAAATGTGTTGAAAATATAATATTTCGTACACTGCAGATTTCTCCTCCTTGCATACATGTATTGCTATATAAATGTGTAAACGGAAAGGAAAAGTCTCAAAAGAACAAAGCTGAGCTTATGCTCAAACAGAAAAATTGATTACGGCTTAATTGAGGCTTAATCTTTTTAAAACATGTTTGCAGTTAACCTGGGGAATCATATTTTGTTTTAAAAAAATCTGCTGCAAAATGTTTTACCTCACTAATAGGCTATAAGAAAAATAATAATTTAATAAGACTTACCTAATAAAATAAAAAGCTTTATAATTTTATTAAATAACAAAAATGACATTAATTTATAAATAATAAGCTGTCCAAAAATGAACCGTTGATCATCTGGTAATGTTTTCCTGCGATGTATAAATTGCCCCCAATCAAATAGCTATCAATAATAAAATTTGATCATGTAATAAATAAGTCATTATAATTAATCATATAGCAGTAATGCAACATAATGTATGAAAAGGTCAAGTTGGGATGAAAAAAATCTTTCTTCAAAGTATTATTTACAAGTCCAGACAAAAAAAAACAAAACAAATTTGCTATTCAATATTGTGTTTCTGTTTCAGTGTTATAAAATACATTATGAAAATAGATGCAGGAGAGACCAAAGTGAATAAACATCACTATAATCAGTGACTGTTTGTGTGTGTCTGTGTTTGTTGTGAATGTTTTTAAATGTTGATGTTGGTGGATGGATATGTGTGATTTGAAATTGATTGCGTTTGCTAATATGGCCTGCTAGTTGATAACAGTCTGATTCTTTTCAGCAGTTGTTCTTTTTTCTTTTTGTTATAAAATATCTCTTGATCAATGGTCATTTTGTCAAAGATATTATACATGATCATTTCATTGCTCCCTGTCATATTGTCCACCATTTTTTCGCTTTTCCAAACTGCATCGTGGGTCTACCAGGAACATTGATTCTTCCTTTCTATTTATAATTAATCCCATCTATAAGATATGTAAAATTTATAAAGGAAGAATTTATGTTGGCATACAATATTATATATATAGGTATAAGTAAATACATATATATATATATATATATATATATATTATATATATATTTATATATATCAAATCTTGTAACTAACACAGCAAAGTAGAATTACTTATGTCCAGGTTTAAAGCTTACAGATGGGACTGATCTCCCTTCATTAGGGTCCTCTTTAACACTGGGCTCTATAGTGAAAGCCATTGCCTCTGCTGAGTTTGTAGACTCTTCGGGTGTTTTAGACATCTCATGTTCATGATCGTGGTCATGATGGTGGCGGTGCTTGTGATGGAAAGCTTGCAATGAGAAGCGCCGATGTGTCTGCTTACGCCCACCCCTTCGCTTTGAGATGTGTGGATTGTCCTTTCTCATTGTTTTGGTTTTGTAAATTTGGAGCTGTGTGTAGAGCCGCTTGAGTTCAGCCTAGGAAAAAAAAAATGTAAGACACATTTAGTATGTAGATGTAAGACACAAATGTAAGACACGGATGTGAGTTTGATTATATCTTGAGTGATCGTAATCTGCACTCGTTGTGGAAATTAACAATTTTAGTTGATAAAGTCATGCCTGTGCACCACCTGTTGTACCAGTTCATAGCACCAAACCACCTGTTGTAGCTTATTAAGACACTTAATCACCCGCCAAGCACATTCAAAGCAATAAACCAGTGTTCCTAAACAGGAGTGCCTGCATCACTTGGGGTGCAGGAGGCAGTGTGAGGGAATGTGGGACGACCCACAATATTGGGTTCATTTGCATTTCTGTTTATGCTTTTTTATCATGGCAGTGCAGGAAATATGCTTTGAAATTGAGAATGGTGTAAGAGATATGCTTTGAAATCGAGAATGGGGTAAGAGATATGTTTTGAAATTGAGAATGGGTAAGAGATATGCTTTGAAATCGAGAATGGGGTAAGAGATATGCTTTGAAATCGAGAATGGGGTAAGAGATATGCTTTGAAATCGAGAATGGGGTTAGAGATATGCTTTTAAATCGAGAATGTGGTATGAGATATGCTTTGAAATCAAGAATAAGGTAAGAGATATGCGTTGAAATAAAAAATGGGGTAAGAGATATGCTTTGAAATCGAGAATAAGGGTAAGAAATGTGTTTTGAAATACAGAATGGGGTAAGAGATATGTTCTGAAATCAAGTTGTTGTGCTGCACTGCAAAAAGGTAAAGAACCTCTGCATGATGCTGAACTGATTAATACACCCATTAAACAAGATTTTTACATTCTGCTACCTGTTACATCTGAAACTGTACTAGACGAGATAGTTACTCATTTCTCCATCTGCTTCAGCAATCTTCTTTAATAATGTTACAATAGATTGTGTTTAATCTAAAGGGATTGAATAAAACTCATTGAGCAAAAAAATCTTATTTTTACACCCTCAAGACTTATTGTCATAAGCATTGATGCTACAATTGAAATGGTATTCAAGTTTGCTTTTTTTTCTTTTCATGGTGTCTAAATGCCACGCTAAATGTTCATGTTAAACTATTTAACTAACTAAATTATAATACTGGTAATTACTTTTAAAGATGAAATGCCTCTTACATGAAAAAATGTAGGTAACAAGTAACATCAAAATCAAAATACAACGATGAGACATGCAGCATCAGTTTGCCAACATGAACCCATTATGGATACAAAATAGAATAATTTGACTTGCCCGTATATCCTCTGGATCCATCTCTGTCAAGCTGATCTCACCAACTTCAACGTCTCCATTGGAGGAGATACCCACGTTGAGCTTCATAGTTTCTGGAGATGAGCTGTCTTGCACATCTGATTGAGAGTAGGCTCTTGATCTTCCGTGATCTTCATCTGGGGGCCGGTGTGCATACCATAGCTGTGGGAGGGATGAGGGTGGGTGGGTTGAGGGTGCATGTGTAGATTAATTGTTTATGCAATTTGTAAATTGTTACCAGTATAAGGAAATGAGAAAAACAAAATATAGAGGGGAAAACCTGATAAAAGGACGCAACACAATAATGTAGTACAAAGATATATAACAAGGTAGTATAAAGTTATGTGACAAGGTAGTATAAAGGTATATATCAAGGTAGTATAAAGGTATATAACAAGGCAGTATAAAGGTATATAACAATGTAGTATAAAGTTTAAATAGTTAACATATTTTTAATAATTGTAAAGCGCTTAGAGCTGTAAGGTAAGCACTATACAAAAATGCCTAAATAAATAAATAAATATAACAAGGTAGTATAAAGATGTATAACAAGGTAGTGCAAAGGTGTATAACAAGGTAGTACAAAGGTATATAAAAAGGTAGTATAAAGGTATATAACAAGGTAGTATAAAAGTATATATCAAGGTAGTATAAAGGTATATAACAAGGTAGTATATAGGTATATGACAAGGTAGTGCAAAGGTATATAACAAGGTAGTATAAAGGTATATAACAAGGTAGTATAAAGGTATATAACAATGTAGTATAAGATTATATATACATATACATTTCCGTTTACATAACCTGATTGCAGTCTCTCTCCCTTATTACCATGTTACTGGTATGCAAGCTGACTTTGTGTTTTTACTTTTTTTTTTAAATGTTCAAAGCATTTTACTAACACTTTTTTTCTTTTAATTCTCAGGTAGTGTAATTAAAAATGAATTTTAACTTTAAGCGCTAAATGCCATTCTATTAAAAAAAATATTTTTAAGTGTTAACATTTCATTAAACAGTTGTGTGGAAAGCATGCTTCATTTAAAAAGAGAAAATAAAAAGGAATCAGTTACATTTTTAATACTTCTTTCATAAATGAACTTTTTGAATTTTTTTTTGTAATCTGAAAAGAATTATTTCAAAAATTTTAACATCAGATTGGACCAGTATTAATAATTTAAAATTTATTCAATAAATGAAGTTGGTGTGCACATGATGACTGGAAGGAGTCAAATTTAGTTAGTGCATTAGATTAACATTTAATTATTTGTTTCTACTTTCAGCCATACAAATATATATATTAGCAGTGTAGAGCTCAAAGCTACCACAGCATAGCATATTCTAGCTTACCTTAGGACCCAATATAATGAGTAATACAACAGTAACTGTGAGCTGACACCTCAGAAAAAACATGAGAAACAGATGATCAGGATGCATTTTGTACCACCACAAATGTCTGGGGAAATATGAGAAAATATATATAATATTGGTCTATCCTTCCAATTTTCACGCCCCCAAAATTATTATTTTTTCTCTAAACTTGTAAGCTTATTCTAATTTTTCTTCCTTTGAGTTCAATCAAACAAAAATTGTAATTTGATGTTGTTTGAAGATATTTGGATAACATATATAGATGTAAATTTAATTTAGCAATATATGCACTGCAATTAAAAAAAACTACAGCTGTTTGGATTTTCCCAATAAATGTGATTATGAATTTATAATACTAATACTAATACTTAAATGATAATTTATTGCAAAGAAAAAGAATTTAGTAACCTTTAAATTCGAATAAAATACTTCAAATAGTTCCTTAATTGTTATTTTAACTTTTTTTTCAAATTTACAATAATAATACTTAAACAAACATGTAATAAAATATAAGATATATGTTTTATTTTTTTCATATTATATTTATTTGAATTTCATAAAATAATAGAAAATTCCTATCATTCTTTTTAAGAATACAAATGTATTTCAATTGATTCATTTTTTTAGTGCTATATGTCACTTTAACTTAGCCCTTTAAATATATATTTTTACTTTTTAGTTCAAGTGTAAATTTTAATTTGATACGGTTTCAAGACTTTTGGATAACTTATAAAAATTTAAATATAAATATTTATATAAATAAATATATATATATATTAATATAAATGTATAAATAGATAAATATAAATTTAATTTTGCAATTTTAACAGCACAACCAATGTTTGGGTTTTTTCCAATTAATATGATTGAAATACTAATAATAGTAATACTTAGATGATAATTTATTGATAATAAAAAGAATATCTAAACTGCCAAATTCTGATAAAATAATTTAAATAGTTCCTTAATTGTTACTTCAAGTGTATTTCAAATTTATATTAATAACACTTGACTTAATCATATAGGTACTTACATTTAAGCAGATATTTTCTATTTTTAACATATCTAAATTGATTTGATTTATGAAAATAACAGAAGATTCCTATCATTGCTTTTAAAATTCTAACCGTTTTTGAAATTGATTTTTTTTTAAAGCATTAATCATTAAATGTTCAGCCTAGCTCATTCTTAGCATAATAATAATGAATACTCTTTAAGTGTTGAATACCTATTTACACATTTTTATATTGTAAGAATCATAGAACCATTTAACATCTTGGTGGGTTTGCAGGAACAACTTAAAATTGACAATATTTACATGTATTTTTTAAAATGAGTAGGGCGAAATGGGGCCGTCTATTAATTATGTCAACAAAATATTGGGGAGGGGTTTCGTAAATGTTTGACAGCTGTTGACAAGAGGGAGGGAGGGAGGTTTTGATTAGTTAATGGCAAAAATCATGTTTTCTCTATTAAATTAAAATTGACTGGTTATTACGTTATTTTTTAAAAATTTAATGAGTGTAAATAGTTATATAATTTTTAGGTGTCCTGTGCAGCCAAGATAAATGATATTATTAGAGTAGGAATACAATATTTTGAGAATTAGAGGAAAGTAAAGTGAGTAACAATAAAAATCACTTCTTGAATGGATTTGCAAAATCTGTAACATCTAATTTGCATCACAAGTCATGTCTTTAGCATAAGAAATTAGCACCTGCTTCTCAACAAAAAAAAATTCGACCACTGCGCATAGCTGCAAGAAGATAGAGAGAGCTTATGGCAATTATTGCTCACACCAACAATGCTTCTATTTTAAGTACTGAATGGTTAGATGAGGATGATGTTGACTTGCCTGGTATATCAGTTCCGCAAGATGAAAATGATAATCAACTACTATGGACTAGCCCCATCAGGAGTGTAATTTCAGGGGTTTTTCAAGAGGTGGGGGGGAGGGGGGCAAAACCAAAACTTGGTCGGCTTGTTGTTTATTACTGGAGGTACCACAGTACATAGCAATTTAATTAAAACCGGCAAATTCAGGGGGGGGGGGGAGGGGGCAAATGCCCCCCTGCCCTGCCCAAATGATGTCCCTGACGCCCATTGCTATAATAGTGGAACCCCTGGCTACTCCATGGGAAGATGATAGCAGCTAGGAACTATACTATAATTGTCAGCTTTACTGACAATAATCATATTTATTCTTCCACAAACAATGATATTTAGTCTTTAACAACTTTTTAATTGATTCTGCATTATAAATTTTAAGTGTANTATAGAATGTTGACATAATAAAATATGGGGGTTAATGAACGTTTTACAGTTGTTATCAAGGGGGGTGGGAGGGGTAAAAAATTTCGTAAAAATTGTTGACGTAATTATTAGACGACCCCAATATGTTTTAAAATTACTAAAATTTGTCAATTTGCAATATTTTGAAAATCAGATTCCTTAAAATTATTTTTTTTTTAAATAACCTTAATTTTAGCTTTTCTTAACCATTGATGTTCAATCTCAGTCACTCAATGACATTAACTTAGAGATGTAATTTTATGAAATAAAACATTATATCAAAAAGCTTCAGCTATAAATGAACATGAAACTTTTTTCTTTTTTTTTTTGCTGGCATCTATCCATGATGGTGTAAACTTCATAAGATGAAATCCACAAGGCCTGGGATTCTTCTTTTTTTTAGAATTATAAGCTGGTTCCCTACACAGCATATTGCCTCTCTCCACACCGCTGGATAACACAAGTGAACATCACATGTGGATAACGCAGCTTGGCACCGTAGCATCACAGGATTTGCCGAAATGTTTCATTGTGCCAATGGGACTCGATCTCTGGATTTGGATTCAGAGTTTCTTTCCTTAGATGAGTTGCCATCCACCCAGGGGGGGTAGTTTTTGCTTGACTGGGCCTTGGTGGGGATTGAACTCCGGACGACGAACTTAAGACAGACTCAGTTTAGAACATTCAACCATTCAGAACCCTAATCGTCCTTGATCAACATACATCGGAGTTAATATTATAGAACATCAACCACCCAGCACCCTAATCGCCCTTGATCAACATACATCGGAGTTAATATTATAGATAATCAACCACAAGGAGTAGGTGGGTATGGGACAAATGAAATGGTGCAGCTAAACCTGGCACCATCAAATGAGATGTTATTAATTTCTGGTGAGAACCCCCAACAAATAGTGCAACTCTTCGAGAAATATCTAGCACCTGCTGTCATATTTTTCTCCTCACTTAACTGACATTGGGATATTCACAAAGCTAACTGCATGGTAGTGAAAAAAATGTTAATTTACAAAAAATTTACAAAAAGTACTCAAGATTCCATTTTGTTATAACTACCAGTACTGAAAAAGTGTTTAAAAAAACACACACACCTGATACCAAAAGAGATAGATGATATCACTAATGCTTACCTAAGAACATAGAAGATAGTTGATATAGCAGCTTCATAAGATATGGCACCAGTAATAAACCTGCCTTCTGAATATTCAGTGGGTGCGGACCTCACACAGTAACACATGTAGATGCCAAAGCACAAAAAGATAAACTCCCCTGGAAATAAACAGCACAATAAAAATAATGTAATATGTTGGGGGGAGGGGGGGGAGGAGTTAAAAAAAAATAATTTTGTATAGGTCAATGCATTTTATTAATCTTTTCACATTTGCTTCGTTTTGACATACAGGAAATATTAGTAGCACTTTGTTATTTTGGCCACAGTGGGAATGGAACATCAAACATCT